GCTGTCTGCACACACATGGACAGAATAACTCTGCCTGAAGTACATGGAGTGTCCTGACTCATCATCACACCAAGTTCAACATGGGAATTTGTGGAGCCTGTTCCAGGACACTTTTTAAACCCACTCTATGGGTCAATACCATAAACTGGTATGCTAAAACAGAGGGATGTTGCAAAGGTGTTGCCATTAGTCATGACGAAACTGTATGACACGCGTCATATTGGATTTTAGAGTGGATAGTTTGATGATCCCTTATGAAAAGGGAAACTGTGATATAAGCCTGTACAGAGTGACAGGAATAGAGGATTTCGCTCTGAATCATCTGCAAGAGGGACCTCCGAGTTTGCACAGCAGCTGGGCTGAAGTAACAGGTAGGAAACAATCCACCATTGCAGAATTAAGTTGTTTTCATTCCAACACGGATTGCCCACACGGGGGAGTACATTTACTCTGCAATGGCTCTGCTTTTTCCTTGTACAGTTACAAGCTTTAATATAAACTTTCTGGTTTTCCAATAACTGTGCTTGTGTACCATTCTGTCAATGATTCTATATATGGCTTAAATTTCAAGCAAAGAAAAGAAAACCCCACAAGATGCTGTTCTTGGTAGCAATGTTATTCTGGCTGAGTGGAGTCATGAATTGTTGGGGAAAAAAAATAAATAATAAAATGGTTAGAGAGTTGGTATAGCTTTGTTTCCCACTGGAAACATGTTTGCTTGTTACCTACATGGAAATCTCTCTGCTCTGGCAGACCTTGCTTTAGTGCTACTGCAGCTCCACAGGAGGAACGTTTCTGTCTGTTACAGCCACATCCCCTCATTGCTCCCTAAGAGTCTCCTCAATAGTAACCAGCCATTCTCCTTCTAAGGCAATGGGAACACTGGATCACTTGGTAGATTATTGCCAAACTGGAAACCTGTCACTATCAACTTAAAATACAGCCAAGAGAGAAAACTTTTGGTTTCCCATCTCCTGAACCAGTATGTTCAGCCAGCTTTGCAACCCAGAAGCACTACTCAGGCATTACTCCTATGCATTTGCTTCTTCTTTCTTCAAAAAACCCTATGGGTACTCATTTGGAAATTAACTGTAAATATTAATTTTCTTTGTAGTCTAGGCACTCATGAAATGACTAATTTAATACTTCATGTGATGCTTTGCCCTTCTTTTCCCAAGCAGGTTTTATTCTGCTGCAGCAGAGAAATATTCTGCTGCAGCAGAGCAATCACAACAGGAGATAAAAATCTAGGTTGATTTGCAAGGCAGGTGAGTGAAGAACAGTGACACTCAGAATAACTTGGAGCTTCTATTTTTAATCAGGACAGTTAGGTTTTCTTACAAAAAGAGAAGTTTAAGACAATGAATATATTTTTGAGGGGAGCAAAAGCGCAATGTGGTACTGAAGTAAATTATTGTGAGTACTCTCCTGCGATCCAAATATCTTCACTGAGAATGGAATAAGGCTGCCTTTTTTTTTTTTTAAATCTCCCTAAAATGAATAAACATGCTGAGGAACAGCATGAGGAGAGGCACTGGACTAGAATGCAGGTAAGAGTATCCAGAACCAGTAGGGACCTGAAATTTGTCAAAGCCATGATAGGAATGAGTCTTGATCACAATGCTCCTGCAGTGTAATATACCCTAACTAAATCATAGAATCATAGAATGTCTTGGGTTGGAAGGCACCACTAAATGTCATCTAGTCCAATCCCCTACAATAAGCAGGGAAAGAAGAGATTGCTCAGAACTCCATGAAGCCTGACTTTGGATGTGTCCAGGGGTGGGGCCTCACCACTGCTCTAGGCAACCGTTTCAGTGATTCACCACCCTCATATTAAAGAACTGAAAACTAGCCTTCTCTAGCTTGAAACCATTACCCCTTGTCCTATTGGTTCATGTCCTGGTGAATAAGTCTTCCCCAGCTTTCTTACAGGCTCCTTTCAGGTATGGGACATATGTAAACACTCAGTAGTCATATTTTGGAAAGCAAGCTGCTTCTTCTCACAAAATATCTACCTACTTATTATTTCAAATCTGCTTCTCTGTTGAAGTGAAATAGTTGAAATAAGCTGCTCACTTTAGAAGCTGGAGGAAAGTGGCCAAGAATGGCGATAGGGCCTGAGGCAGACATCATCACCAAAGTCATGTTTCCAGAGGAAATAAAAAATTTAAAAATAAGCTGTAAAATCTATTATAGTCTAACAAAGTTTGATGCCACAGCTGGTTGTGCCCTGAGTTGGAGGTTAGATTAGATGAAGTCTAATGGATCTTCCATTCTGAACGGTATTATGATGACACAATGCTCCATTTGCTTAAACCTGTCTGTGTATCACTCATCTTTACAGATGCAAATTGGACTGTATGACTGTTTTTAAACTACTGAAATCCACATGTAGAGGCATAATCTGTTTCCTTTTCTGGATCCACCCTTTTTTTAAGAAGTCAATTCCAGTTCCTGCTTTTGCTGTTAGTCAATGTCCAAACATGGCCGGAATGAAATGATAATCGCACTACCGTCAGCAATGGTTTAATTAACAGCAATAAACTGTGCACTTTATCTGCTGCAGCTTGTCAAAACAGAACTGTACTGCATTGTGGAGCCACCTGGTTTCAGGAAAAAGTGCAGGATTGCCTCACAGTAGGCTCATCTTTGATTGCAGTGTGATCATCACAGGCAAAATAAAAAGCATTTTATTAATGTAAACTTTAATTGAATAGAAATAGGTGTGTTGAGACTGTGTACTTTTCAGCCAGTTGTGAAGGGGCAGCCACAAATTCACCTAAATACATAGAAAGGAGAACAATGTGCCTACACACCTGGTGCTGCTTCTTGCTGAAGGTGAAGGATAAAACTCTTTTCGTTTCCCACAGCAAATTTGTGCCTCAGTGAGAAAAACAGATTTTCCAGCAATTCTACAACTCAGGAAACTCAGTTCTTCAGAAGTTATGAAGCAAAACAAGGGATCTCAAGGTTTGTCTGTTCTTCATAAGAGGTCTGAACTTTAACATCTCTTTAAATCTTACCTCCTAGAATTGAGCTTATCCAAAGAGAAATGAGAACATCAGGCACAAAGGAATATAGAATCATAGAATCATCCTGGTTGGAAGGGACCTTGAAGATCATCGAGTCCAATCATAACCTAAATCCCTCTACCATAACATAATATACCCATTCAGTACTTAAATCATGTCACTAAGCACTATATCTACATTACTTTTAAATTCTTTCAGGGATGGTGACTCCACCACCTCCCTGGGCAGCCTTTTTCACTGTCCAACCACTCTCTTGGTAAAGAAATTCTTTCTAATATCCAATCTAAACCTCCCCTAGCAGAGCTTTGGGCCATTTCCTCTGGTCCTATCATTATTTACTTGGGAGAAGAGGCCAGCATCCACCTCACTACAACCTCCTTTCAGGTAGTTCTAGTGGGTGATGAGGTCTCCCCTCAGCCTCCTCTTCTTCCAACTGAACAATCCCAGTTGTCTCAGCCTCTCCCCATAGGACTTATTCTCCAGACCTTTCACCAGCTTGGTAGCTCTTCTTTGAACACTCTCCAGCAACTTAACATTCTTCCTGTAGTGAGGGGCCCAGAACTGCACACAGTACTCAAGGTGTGGCCTCACCAATGCTAAGTACAGGGACATGATCAACTCTCTACTCCTGCTGGCCACACTTAAACCAAAGCAAACAGATTGTCAGTGCTACAACATTTATTACTGGAAGTAGCATGACACAATCACAGAATCACAGAATTGTCACACTTGGAAAAGACCTGTAAGATGACAGAGGCAAACTGTTCATTCAAGAGGAAATAAACCCCACCAAACCAAACAAAAATAATCCAAACCACAGCCAATCAACAACAACAAAACAACACTCACCATGCCCACTAGAGTATGTCCTGAAAGCAAGAAACTGGCTTAAGCAAGCATGCTTGCTTAGTACAGTTTCCTATACATATCTTTACTCTGGAAGACGTTTGATATATTTGCTGTGAAGTGATTTAATTCAGCTCTAATTCCGTTCAACTCTTCTTTGCAAGACAAACTGAGTGACTTCTCAAATGACTTACTAAGGGACTAGAAGCGTAAAGAAACCTAATAAAAGTGACCAAATTTTCATAATTCTGTACTATGTTCCTCTACTATTTATCAGTTTTTCTGCATGGTAGTAAATTATTACATTGTTTTAGACAGCTAATAGCATTTTCTCCTTTCATTATGCATCCATTTTATACACAATGTTTTTGAACTAGGGTTGGAAAACACAACAATAATAAATATCCATTGTAATACTGCAGTTTGTGTCAGAGAACTGGTGTTAAACAAATTCTTGCTATGAATGTCAGTGAGCATCAGTGACTGAAGAACTTTTTGGTAGAGCTACAGCTGCAGAGTTTCCATTTTGCTGTCTATGCTCCAGCTGCTCTACAGAATCTAAATTTCTCCTGCTACTAATTTTACTGTCCTTGTCAATGTGGCAGTGAGATGCTCAACATACCCACTAAGTATAATGAAGGTTAAAAGAGAAAAGACTGAGTCTTTGGATGTGTCTGTCTCCCTACTGTTAAGAGAACAAGTATTTCTTTACCATTACATTACCACCCAACATCTCCATGTGGTTAAATATTTTTTTTTAATAAAGTCAGGGATAGGAATAGGGATAGGAATAGGGACAGGGAAAGGCATAGGAAGAAAATATTAATTTTATTATGAGTTTTACTTGTTCTCCTTCAAAATGCTTCTAAAGTAGGGTTAAGGAAATAGGAATAAGGGTTAAAGTCCAAAACCAACCAGTTTAAACACTCATGCCTAAGATTTTGGCTGAAGTGAAATGGGATAATGATGTGTTGCTAGTAATCAAAATGGAAGTGGATGTTCATGTGAATGTTCAGGAACCTAACAACCCCTTGTGCTGAATAACCTACAGGCAATGTTTCTGGATATCCCTTGAGCACAGTTTCACACACATGCAAAAAAGAAAAATCTTTATTTTACCTTTGGAGTTTGCTGCACCAGCTGCAGTTGAAGCCAATCTGGGCAGTGACACAGGGGCCACAGCTGGTAAACTGGAGACAAGCTGGGATATAGATAAACAAACACAAATTATTTTATTAGTCACACAAATAATTATCTTAAAAAGCACAAAAGCAGGATACATCTTCTGATAATTTATACTTAGGGCCTCACCAGGTTCACACACATCCAAAAAAAGACACTAAACCCAGCCTATTACATTGCACTGTACAACCATTTCCACAGAGGTACATTTTATCTGTAGGATTTAATTTGTATTCCATTTGTGAATGTACTCCCACTTCCACAACTGTTCATTCATCTTCATTGTTAATGCTTTTATCTTTCTATGCATTTCCTTAAGTCTCTTTCTTCCCTGGCTCCAGTGTTCCTTCATGTTGCTAACATTCAGATGTTGGCAGAAAGTAAGACTGACAGGAAAATGTGCAAAAAAAAAATAGCTGTTTCTGCTTTTTTTTACAGTAGTACAGCTGGCAGTTTAAACCCAGAGATGTCTAAACAATGTAGTTTTATCTTGGACAAATTAGGCAGATGAACTACAAAAATGTGTTTGGGTATATTCCTTTGCAATATGATGCACAGTACACAGAATTATTTGTGTTTGACTTGCAAACATGAAAACTGTGTTTTTTTCTTGATAACACAGATTTAAAGGAAATACAATCACTCTTCTGAAAAAAATTATTTGCCACATATTTCATTCAAAACCTGCTGGGAGCTATATGGCTATAAACTAAATCAAGATACATGAGGATGCACTGAATAATGAATCAACGACCTGGGAATAAATCTGAAACAGGATAAATGAATCTGTCCATGATTCCAGGTTCACAGGTAAAATAGAATATTTAAAATGTTAATGTGTTGCTGCAAGCAGAAAGCGGGGTCTTTCCCAGATATGGCTCCTGCCGACGTTATGTTTTACTTACTTGGAAGAGGTATCATTTCAACAGCTGAGAGATTGGTAATCTTTGACATCTGTAGCTCCACCCTGTGGTACTCATAAATTGTTCTTCTACGGACATCTACCAGGAAAGAAAAATAAAAATATTTTCCAATTTTATTATTTTGTGAAAACTAGTGGATATAATGATCACTCGTTGTTCCTTAGGTGTACACATGACACCAATTTTCCTCAAGAATATATTTTTAAGTTTAGCCACCATGAAGGAACAAAGGTAGGGACAGAGAATTTTTAACTTGAGAAACTATGAGAAGTGACAGAATAGGCACCTATTTCCAGTAAAGGATCATAGAAATGCTGAGTGTGCTCTCAAGTATCTTAGTCATTCATTTAGGCAGAAATTCTAGATGGCATACTGTCAGACATTTTAGGGTATAATTCAGATGCTTGCTTTCCTAAAATATTTCTCAGCTAAAGACTTGAGAGAAATGCTTTCTATGCTCATTTTGTCAGTTCTTGTCAAGATGTGCAAACAAAACTGATTTCATTGCTTAATCAAATTTGTTAGCTACACGCTAGCTCACATCTAAATGCTCTAGCACATTTTTTCAGAACAATATACTAAAGATGAGATAAGTCTTCCTAAACAGACAATGTTATCCATAATCTTTACATAAGCTGACTGCACCTCAGTTTCTCAAAGCAGAAATTCAATATAGTCGATGCACTGCCTCAGGGGCTTTGAACACACAGACAACTGTAAGACCCAAGCATAAGATAAGTGTGAAAAACCCACATCATTGTTAGCATCCAGGCCCATATCCTACCATGTATTCTAGATTTTAAGTGCATGGCTGCAATGTACACTGGTGAGCTTGTACATTTGCAAATTAAAAGTACAGCCCAGCTTATACCACCAATCTGACACAATAATGATTTCCTAGTGTGTTGGATTAAAATTTATGTCCTTTTTGGAGGTTTATTAGACTAATTCAAATCAATGCAAAATACAATTGCTGACCCAGTGGAATTATTCCAGAAAAGAATAAAGGTTTACATACAAAGGATTACCAGGTTACTTTAGCCAGTGGTGGTCTGAGCCTACATGCAACAGAAGGAAAGGAATTGCAGACAGCCATAAACCCCATTTTAGGCAGTCTTCGGATTTGCCATCCCTGTACAGATTAGGGCACTCCTCATGGCTTGGTATAAAGGCTGTGTTTCTGCAGCTTGAAGTGTCCTCACACAGGCTTACCAGCTGTTAAGCAATCACATAGAACCAAATCCAAAGTGTTTCTCGCAGTCTCTTGCTAGATGGATGTAGTAGGCCTTTTTCAGATAGAAAATGGAACCTTGACTAAAATCAATCAAGCAATAAATACTAGTTTTTAAGGGAAAAGAGAAAGTGCACTAAGGTGTCCTGTGGCTAAGGTGCCTCTTGATTCAAGCGGACAAGACTTTCTAAGAACAGAGGGATGTCCAACCTCTAAAAGCACAGCCGTGGGAATTCCCCTTTATACCACAAAGAAAACAATCATCAAGCTATTGCTGTCAGTTAGAATAAAAAACTTCTGGTATGAAATACACCTAGAATTGAGCTTGTTTCATGTTTTGCCTACAGAGTAATTCTGATTGGTAAAAAAACAGATACAGGCATGCGCCAAATATTTACTCCAATAAATACCTTAGCCATGTCCTTCAAACATACTGGACAGAAAGGATTTTCAAGACAAAGCTAATCATGTGCTGAGGTGGGGAAATCTCTTGCCAATAGTGAGAGGTTTATGCTTCCAGGGTGGTAAGTCCCATAAAAACACGTGCCAAATCAGAGCAATCTCCTGCCAATGCTGAAGGTTCTAATTATTTTTCACGGAAATCCTTATCCTGCAGTCAAAAAAAACCCAAAACAAATGAATACCTAAATTAAAATGGTGGGTGCTGGGACTTTAATTGAACACCATTTAATCTCATCCATAGTGGTACAGCCTGGTATGCTACAACCTTTCCTAAAAGATTCCTCATAGGTCTTGCAAGAAATAAGGAGCTTCTGGCTTTCTAAAAATCCAGATTCTTCACTGACTTAGGTCACAGGCACTTTTATCTCAGTGCATGAGACTTCTAAGAGCCCAATAATTTAAAGAGAATTAATTTTGTTATAAAAATACTAATTTCTAATCAATCATAGTTCAGCATGACTGTTGATCCCATTAAATCCCACTTCTTGGTAGACTCTCCTCTTTTCTTCATCAGCAAGAAGACTGTGCAACCACAGGAGGTGAGTTTGCATATGAGGGATCTGTCTACTTTGAGAAACCTGAGCACAGAGGGGTATTTGCATAGTCACCTTCTAACAGCTTCATATATACTTGCACAGGTGTTGAAAACAGGAGTGTTCAAATTTATCTGCATGGCCAGATTGTAAAGAAAATGCAGGTGTAGATTCTTTTTCCTCCCTATTTAGAATTCTGAGCTTGTATCCCCTTTACAAAACAGGCTGGAAAAGCTAAACTCAACAGGATAAACAAAAAAATGATTACTCTCTCCTCACACTTTCCCTCTTAACCTCTCCACACATAATTCCTGCTCCAACCCAAGACAGAAAATGTCTTTCACTGTGATGGAACTTGTTCTTGTCTTATGCTGTCTATTTAGCTCTTTTACCATCAAGTGGGGAATTGCAAAGAGCTTAAAGCCCATGTATTCAGTATGCGCCTTAACAAGCACTGTGAGTGAAAATGAAACCATTTGGTGTAAAAAAGATGAAAATGGAAGCATTTACAGCTATTTTGCTGAAAAGGGGTGTTATGTCAGGTCTAACAGGGAAGGAGGGAAAACAAAAGGACTTTCTGCATTCATATACATTTTGAAGTACCTTTCCTGGTTCTGAATTTCAGAATATGTGTATATATTCTTCTCCTCATCATGAAAATATTTACTTTGCTGTAGGTCTTTTTGAAAATCTCAAGCACCATTTTTTACTGAATGATACAACTTATGATTTTTATTTTTAACAAGAACAGAGTCTATTTATTTTACATTTCTTTTAATTTACAGCATGGTTCCGACTGCTCTTTGGTTTGGTTCTGTGGCATGTATATGTGTTTTCTTGAATACAAGGCCAAAGGTACAGTCCCAACAGAAAAACCTGAAGGAAACACCAGCACTTACCTGAGGTAAGTACATTCCTCAGTGACCTAGTGGTCAGAAGGCCAATTGAAAGACTCCCTTCAAGGGATTAAGCAATGGATTGGTAAATCATAGATGTGCACAATTCTGGTGCAACAAAACATTCCTATGTAGTTTTATCAGATCAGTTTTAAACTAAATAATGACTTATAAATATTCTATGAAACAGAACTTCCAGAGTTAACTAAATGTACTAAACAGAGGGAGTACTCTGGAGACAGAGAAGTGCCAGAAGAGCACCAATGACTTTCTAACATACCTGAAGGGTCAGTAGCTAGTAATAAACCATTCTAAATATGTGTCTAACAGATGCACAATCTCTCTGGTACTTTTCCATCACATAATCGTTTTTCCTCATACAGCACTCAAACTTGCAGCCCAGTTAAATGTGAAAATATTGGAGACATCAGTCTGATTTTTCAAATTATATGTTCACACAAATAAAAATCTTTGTCAGCGTAATATTTCTAGGGAATTGAGATCAGCCATACACCCAGCAAAAACTCCTAAACAAGACCATATGTATTCATACAGCTGCACTTTCATTTTTAAGTCTAGCTGGGAGATAAAACACAAATGGTAAGAGGGTGCATTTGATTATGCAGAAGTCAATTTGAAGCAAACAATTTATGAAACATACCCATCTTACATTGCAAGCAATTTGTGAAAACCATAACAGTGAAACACAGAAGGGTGGGGAACAGATGCTGTACTATGCAGCCACTGGCTTTGCTTGATAGGGACTTTGTTTAGCAACACTGGCTGAATAAATCTCCATGCAAATAAATCTTTTGCTAGTCTGGTATGTCTGATCACCATCATCACAAAGGTAAGGGAATCAGAATGTCAAAGCAATGTGTGTTTTTTGTTTTTAACAGCTTCATATTGTTCAGCTCTTCAGTATTAATTAATTAATTGTCAAGGCACTGACGCTGCGATCCAACATACCTGTAATCATATCACCACCACAATTACTCTTGCTCACGGACTATTACACACTCATCTGAATCTAGATCAAAACTCAGATTCCCTAACTGTATTATTTTCATAATTCTATTAAAAGTTACTTAAAAATCCTTTCAATCCTGGAAGCTGCACCTCAAAGACGTATGTTATCTGTGAATAAGCAAACCAGTGAAGTAGGCTCTGAAATACCTGCTTTATGAACAATGTAGAAAAACTGGTCTGCACCAACGCTCTGTGCCTACCACACCTCATTTACTTTGAAACTGCCCATATCCTTTTAGATTAACCTTCATTCCTGATGCCAGTTGAGCTGCTCTTAGTACATGATCTAACTGTGAAAAACATCCTTTACCACCACACACAGAACTGTCTAATTCTGAGACTGGTCAATGGCCAATTAAGGCTTTGGCTAAAATAAGAACATTTTAAACTTTGATCACCTTGTATCAGTCCCTCAAGTGCTGTTATATGACGAAAGACTGGGAGCATGTCCATCTCTTTCCCACACTGCTCCTGAATCGGGCATGTAGAGCCAAGAAACCCAACTGCCTGGCTAAACCCTTTTGAGCCAGGAGACAAACATGCAGGGATGGAGTAGCTGCCATCCTGTGGAATTAGTTACACTAGTGGAAACTAAGAATATATAGTGTGAATTCAGAGCAATAACTTTTGGCCCTACTTTGCATGGAGGCAAATGACAACATTATCAGTAAGGCAGCAGCAAATTAGATTTCCCAATTTCCCAGATGGTGCTGCATCATTATACAACAAATATCACAACATAAACTGCTGGTCTTCTTTTACCCTTCAGGAAGGTAATGCTAAGGTTTGTACTTTCAGGGGCGTCACTGCTGTAAACAAGCTGGAGAGAAATCTTCAGCGAACAGTTCTAATATGCAGAGTTGTCACTTAATTATATGCTTGAGTTACACTATGTATTGAGTGGCACTAATTGCACTGAAACGGGGATATTACTAACACAGAGCTCAGCTACAATTTTATTTGTGTACACAGTGTTAGTAATTTCAGTACCATTGTATGTTGGGTTGTCAAGGTATGGATTTTCTAAATACTGTACCTAATACAGTACAGGCCAAGATCATGGAGAAGGATGTCTCATCGTGGAGAAAAACCTAGACATTATCTGTAAGCGCATGACTAGTAACTCCCTGAATCATTTTACCAGTGTATTTCATGCTGCCTTGGAAAACAAAAAACAATCTGGGCAAGCTCACTGCTGGGCTTCTTCATTGCTAAAATAAAATAGTCGGTTGTAGGAAATATTTTTTTTCATTTCTTTTTCATGCACAATGAAAAGCTAACTTAAAGACAAAAGGGAGACAGCACTGAAAAAAAAAAAAAAAAGAGAGAAATGGAGCAGCCCTGAAGGAAAAGAAAGACGTAGGGGCAGAAATGACATGAAAGTAGAAAGAGATGTTTGGAATCTGCAGAAGGGAGAGCAAAAGATACCTTAGGAGACTGAAGAACAGAATAGGAGACCAAAGACAGAATGGCAAGGATGGCTGAGAAAAAACAAGAAATAAGAGGGAACATGGAGGAAAAGGTGGTTTACATAGGACAGGGAAAAGGTTCCTAATATGGAAAAGATGTTGAAGAAAAGTGAGAAGACTTGCTGGAGGACCATGTAAAGCTATCCCTCAGCTTTGTCTCCACGAATCATGTGGCACCTCTAAGAGTATATACAGGCATATGTATCTATACATACATACATATAAAAATATAAAATACTAGCCAATTTGCATCAATATAATAGTACTGCATTTAGGCTTGGAAAGAAAAGCATTGTCTATATACAAGCAGTAGTAGCAGATAAAGAAAAAAACCCTCAAACATAGGAAACAGTCAGAAAACCACCTGGCAAAAATATCCCATCTCTGTGCTCTAAATCTTAAAAGACAAGGTGAAAACATGTAGGTACCTGTATTCTTTCAGGGACAGATAAAAGGGGTATTACTACAAATCCTTTATATGTGGAAGTATATTAACAAAAATAAGAATGAAATACTCAGGGTCCTCCATTTCAAAAAGTTCAGAAAATCCTTTCTTTTTCCTCTGGTTCTTCAAGAGGATTCTTTTCAGCACTCATTGAAATGCACTTTTGAAGTGAAATGGCATATCAAACCCCACATTTTTCTCGCCTCAGAATTAAATACGTTTTCCTGGCTTCAGAACTCACCTTTTGGAAGCATCAACAATTTTTTTACTAATGTTTTGGACGGTATGTCTGAAAAAAATCTCATAAATAGTCCTAATTCTTCCAAATTTACTTCAATACAATTAGGACTGCTATATTAAAATTTTAGAATGCTGAGTATATAAAGTGCACCAAAGACATTCAGCATTTCTGAAAGCTGAGAGAATACTTTTATTCAAAGAAGGCTGATATTGTATTTAATGTCTCTCCTTTTCAAGTACAAGATGTATACAAAAATAATTGACAAAACTAAAAAATGAAGAAGTACAGTTGAGTTTTGGGTTTTTTTTTATGTGAGTTTGTTGGAGGGGGTTTGTTTGATTGATTTTTTTTTTTTTTTTTTTAAACTAGCTATGAACATAAAGGGTGACTGGGTTCTCTTAATGGCAAAGCCTTTTCAAAAGTGTTAAGGAAGAACTAATAGCTATACTACTTTGCCATCTTTTGGGACAAACAGACAGCAATTTAGATTCTTCTGTTGTCTTAAGAAGCTAACAAATGAAGTAAACTAACAATTCTATCATACTAGGTTTTCAGTAATTGACTAGAGTCACGGTTGATTTAACACCTCTGAAAAACAAGAATGCAAGAACATGAATACTTTAAAGGCATCTGACACTGGCTCTCAGTGGGCCAACATTACTTAGCAGTTCTGTCAGGGTGATATTATTTTGCCTGTACATATTAATATAAACCTGTTTCATTGAAAGCATAATTTGCCTTCAGGAAAATTTACCACAAACTGATGGTTCCCTTGATTAATACTAGCTCCAGTGTGAGCTGCAAAATAGCAAAAATAATCATGAATTACCACGATCCACAGAATCAGTCGTTAAAGAGGAAAGCAGTATATTACACACAGTAATACAGAAAGAATGCTAACAAAACAGGTGCTGCAGTGGTGTGTTTTAGACTCTTTGCCAACTTTCTGTTTTTCTCACCTGCTATTCCTAAATGCATCTTAATGAACAAAGTTTAAGATCATAGAATCACAGAATTAGCTTGATTGGAAAAGATAAAACACTAGACAGATTTTCTGGTAATTACAGTCACTTCACTTAGCAGAAAGTGTCACATTACAAAATATTTATTGAACTATTAAAACTAGAAAACTAGTATGTAACTATGTCTTCATCAAAACCAACATTATGTAGTGGTAACAAAACAAGGTGTATGTCTGAAACATTTCTACAGAAAAAAAAATTCAAACTAGAATGAAGAGTAATATATACCATATATTTTACATACAAAATTGCATACCCATAATAAGTCCTTCAGTGCTGTTTGATGATGGAGACCAGATGCCAAAAGATCTGCATACTGTTCGCATTGATTATATTCAATTTCTGTGTGACTATTCTCATAAATAATTAACACAAGTCAATCAACCTAATTTCTACCCGAATAAATGTTAGGAGTCTCACAAGCTAAGACTCAGAGAAATACTCAGATCATTTACCTACAAACATCACTGAAATGAGTTGCCTAGATTCATTTGCTTCTACACACCCAGAAACAATCCATGCAAACATAGAAACATCACAACTATCTATCATACTTCAGAAACAGATTTCTTACAAGACCTTATCTCTTAAGTGAAACCTGGGGATGACAACCTCCTTCACACTATTCTGAGTTTACAACAAGCAAGAAAGGGTACTGAAATTTTCCATCTTCCCCATGGCAAGACATGTAAGAAGTGGGATTTATGCTCCCTCATAAAAAAAAACTACTGAAATGTGATGAAGAGGGTACAGGATGACCTGCAACTTCATTGTCAGCCTCATCTGTAGACTACCTTAAAATGGACTTGTTAAAGTAAGTTCTTATGAGCTTTATCCGTGCCACACCTCTGCCAGGGTTCACTTTAGGAGAATATGCCTGGACTCAGTCCTAAGAGTCTGGTTCAAGTACAGCTCCTTCCATCTACACCCTGCTGTTAGGAGATTATGAAAAGCTGAACTCAGTAAATTGGCTCCAAAGGTGTGAGTAAAACCAGCCCGCTAGGAAGCTGAGCCCACTCTGTAATGGCTAAACAAACTCCATGGGTTCTGAACATGGTATGTTAAAACAAAGCATAAAGGAAATCACACTTGATTTCCTACAGGTAATTTTCAGTCAACCCATAGAAAGCATCATTAATGCCAGAGGAAATGAAATGTTACCCGCATTACTGTTGCCATGACTATGTGAGCCCAAGATGTTATTTAATAACTACACTTCCTCTTCTTTTCTCTCACTAAAATATATCTATGAATTCGAAGTTCAGAATGTTAAGTATCAAGAACTTTCAGCCTGGATATTTTTGTTTTTCACTTGGATACAGGTGATTTTTGTGAACAGGTTGCTTCTTCCCTACTATGGATAAGGAGACATATTCCAAATAAAGTATCTTATTGAATACCAAATTATTCTGGCTGACAGCTTAATTTTACATTATTTGACTGTTTGTTTGTTTTATTTACTTAATTTAGCAGCTCAAAAGAAACAATGACAGAGAAAGCCACATTGGGAATTACCAAGCAAATAAAATTACACTTGGACTAACAAGCTGAAATTAGGTAAGTGATTTGTTGTGCAACTAATCATCCTTGATGAAATCAGCTTATACTTGTTTCTCAGCCTTCAAACCATTAGCACTACAACAATACTACATACTGGGAATTTGCTGGATCCTGTGCACAACCACAAATGCATCTGAGAGTCCCACTTTCACTGGGTGGTTGGTTGAACTTATCTGTGTCACAGCGACAGGTATCTGGAAGATAAAACAGGAAGATATGTATGAATTACTCGTCAAACAATTCAGACTGTAAATAACAGCACTGTGTGAATGTGTAAGTGAACACTTAACCAGTGTAAATTAAAACTCCTAAACAAACATTTTACACAATACAGCATCATATGACTAAGCATTTATTGAAGATTAAAATTACTGGGTTTAATTTGATTTTATCTCAGTTTGCTTCCTACATAACAGTATTCATATCAACACTTAGAGGTTGAAAAATTGTTAATGATGATACAGAAAAGGGAAGTAATTTGCAATAATGCACTTTCCTCAGTTGAAGACAAAGATGATGTGCTAGTATCAGACAATGAGGTGGAAGCAATGTTGTATGAAAACAGGAGTTACATTTTATTTGATTTTTTTGGGAAGACTGTAGCTTTGGCTGCTACTTGTACAGATGTAACAGCTTTAGAAATCTGAAAGGTGTTTGACTTAGTGACATGTAGCACTTACACAACATTACTATAGTTAACTAGATTGACCACAAACAGCAGCCATCATGGAAGAAGCTGCTCAAACTGAAGGTGTGTCTTTATCTTTATAGTACATCTTGCTTCTCAAGACATCAGACCTGTTCTGCAGGTGACAATGGCAGAGTAAAAACATGAGATGCCTGGATCAACTAGCGAAGTTATACCCTGCAAAAATTGCAAAGCTGTAACTCAAAGAACAGAGTGCAAGGCAGAGGTTTGTGGACCATGTTCTAGAAAGCAGTAGTTCTAGAAGGAACCTTAGGATGGTAGTGGATGAACAACTCCAGCTGTCAGAAGGGACATCACAATAAGAAAACTTTATTGATGTGGTATTTGGTAACAGAAACAGTGGAATATAGCCTCAAGGTGAGGTGATAATTTTACTTATACCTGCACATTAGATCATCACTGAAATATTACACAAACCTTGGGAGCCACTCTGTCTTAAAAACATCCTGGAAATTGGAGAGAAGAAAGATTAAAAGAGTAATAAAAAATATTCTGAAAACTTTTACAGTTCTCAAATGCCGTTAAGAGGAGAGTTAGTCTTCTATCTATTTGGCTTCTCAAAGGAAAGCTGGAAAGCTGCCTGGATTACCATAAACAAGTACTGCCTTGGAGAGAAATAACTCAGAAGCTAAAAAGCTTTTTCATCTACCACAGAAAGATATAACCAGAAGCTGAAAGCTGCAGACAGATACCTTTAAAATAGAACAAGCCACATGTTTCTATGATTGAATGTAAATAACCACTAGGATAAACAGCCAAGTCAAATTATGAATCTCTACCCATTGCTGCTTTCAAAGCACAACAATATCTTATTTTTCAAAGTGGGCCTTCAGTTAACCAGAAATTACTAGATGAAACTGGATCAAATGAAAAAACCTGAGATATAAGGTGCTAGGCTCAGCTAATGTAATCATCTGCTCTGGCACTATTTGTGCAAAATAACCAGAATTATACTGTTGGTAAGTATTTTTCACATAGCAAAAAAATGCTGAAGTAAAAATCTAGTTACACATTCAATGACAGAGGAATTGGTATTGTTTATATGTGAATTAATGGCATGAATTCCTTTATGTGAGTTAAGCATCAGTAGTTCTTCTCCTTGTTTCCAACATAACATTTAGCTGTGTTTTTTCCTGTATCTGTCTAGGAAAACTGAATTCTGAATATTAACACAAATAGTGAGTTCTGATGAATAATGTAATAAATTTCCAGTTCTTTTCTTTGATTTGCTAACAGGAATTTGTACTGGTTTTGCTGGTTTATTTAGGGCTTCTTACACACGTGATTTGCTTTGGTATAAGAGAAGACATAATATTAAACCAACACGAAAAACTGAAGCAGCTCAGAAATATCGCTACTTACATCAATTTAAACTTGGTTTAAATCAGCTTAGCTCTAATGCAGTCTTGGAGAATATGACATAAGAAGATTGAAAGCCATATTTTCAGTCTTCAGATTAAAAAACTCACTGAGCTCAGAAAGAAGTCTATAAACTTTCTGCAGTGTTAAAGTATAAACTAAGTAGTAGCATTATTCACAGTCTCAGAACACTGTAGAGAAAAGCTTATATTAACTATGAAAGAAATGGTTTTAAAAGATTTTGGAGAGGATACTCTGGACAAGATATAGAAAATCAAGTTAGAACAAACACTGATGAGAAGGATGCAGTGACTATTTCTCTTTCAAGTTTGAAAGGAAACAAAGAATCAGTTTTATAGAAACAAAATGTAGCTGGCATTGGCATTGGCATTATCAGTATGTGTGTGACCTACAAAATGCACTGGTAAAAGTGGTAGCTCAAGGCACAAATTGTGTCTGATACACAAAGAGAATTATACTAATTTTTTACATGTGAGTGCAAACTACAAGTTGTACTCAGGCTTCCTCGAATAATCCTCCTTACTTTAATTCTAATGCCTTTTCATATGTTTTATCTGAATTTGTGAATAATTTAACAATGTGCAACTTTTGAGTGTCGGGTACTTGCAGTACACATACCAAGACTAACTTTTTTGTTTTGTTTTGTTTCGTTTTTGTTTGGGTTTTTTTGTGTTTTGTTTTGTTTTTAACTTATTTTCAACACAACTTGCTTAAGAGCTTGAAAGTCAAGTTCAGGTCAAGTCAAGTTTCATTATTTAATAAAAATTATGAATGCCTCTGATATCTGGTACTAAAAGAGGAGGCAGGAGCCACATTGAAAAGAAAATTCAAAGAAAAACTTCAACAGAAATTAGAAAAAAATTTGGAGCAAAAAAATTCCAGTAGATATTTTCAAAATCCCTGCAGGTGTCTATGCTAGGCAATCTAGCAAGAGTTAAGAACTTTTGGAATATATATAATTTTCTAAAACTAGTAATAAAGTTGCAGTAAGGTCTACTCTAAATGATTGGCACCTTCTAGCAGCCAGAATTCTGGATATGTTTTAGAAGCAGAGAAGTGTAAACGGTGAAGAAATCTCAAAAATTTAGTATGGCCAGCTCTTCAAACTGAGGTATAGTAATTGTCAAATAATTAGTCATACAGAGAGAAATGCAGTCAAAGTAGAAGGACACTGGAAAATGCTTTTATTCTCTTGAAAAAACTACGGTGATATTAAATCTGCATTTTTATAAATACATATGTTTATTTACAAAGTGTGGGAAAATAAGTAATTTTACAGATCTGAACACTTCAGTCTCTCAGTGATGAGTGTACTGAACGTCATTTTATAAGTTAAATCTGTTGAATGAGATGTCAAGATCAAATGGGTTTTTACCATATGATGGCCTATTAAGAAATACACCCTTTTGGCACAGGGCTTGAAATAAATGATAAAATAATTTAATGATAATGACAGTAAAACATACGGAGCAAGCAGATGGCTACTTTTCTGAAGTCTTCACCTGAACGGCAAGATATGTAAACACTTGGACAGTAAGCTAAGAATGTGCAAGGGTTTTTTTGGAATTGCATTCAGAGGATGGAGTTTTAGTAGAATAATTTAAAAAAATGTATGTTAGCTCCACCATAGACAATACGTTGTACAAGTCACCAGTTTATGAATGAGTTTCCAAATGCAGAGTAGCATTTGGGATATTGACATTTTGGATTATATATTTCAACAAGATGGAGAAAGACATTTGGAACTCATGCTGAATTCTATTAATCATTTGGAACACTAGTCTAGACATTAATTTCCATCACAGTTCTAAAATTTTATTACTTTTGACTTCCTCTAAGAACATATCAGAATCTTCAAAAAAGAATACAACAATGATCTATTAATTACTCTATAGACCATACTGCATGAAACATAATCAAGAATTTTGTATTGCATAAAGTGATCACCTCGTGACATCAGGAATCTTAGTTCCATGTTAATACTTTTTATATTAACAAGAGCAGAGGCAAGGAAATACTGGGCATGTATGATGTAGGCAGAATACCCATGAAGACTGTGCTATTTTTTTTAATTTTTTTTTTAATTTTCAGGAAACAATCCCAAAGTTTGAAATATTGTTACTGAAAACAATATTTTCTCTTACATATAGCAGAAGCATCAATTTTATCTTAATGTCAATACTTAATCAGTTCAATTCAATTCTGCCTGCCTCCTTTTACAGTAAAAAGAAATTCTACTACAAGTCTCTTTTAGAATTATTTTCCAGCTTCACATATTGGACAAGTTGAAGAAGCATTTCACCTTTAATAAGGGTTTCTGGATGAATACATAAATAGTAATTACTATTTAAATGAACAAAGAAAACCTTCAAGCCAGTGAAATTTATAAAACCTTTGACACCTTTGCCTGATTTGCCCTGTATTAATCATGGACAGAAAAAGGAACCAAATGTTACACTAAGGAACATTAGCTATAACCACTAACGGAAAAGACTATATATAGAATATTTTTTGCGTTCAAAAAGAAGTAAAGCTCTTGAGAAATGAAGTTCTGTGAAATATAGAATGTAAGAAATCAGTGTTCACTACTAATACATAAAAAGTGTGTCTTTGCAGAATTTTTTTATTACTATATTCTGTTGGTTAGTTTGCACTGTAATGTATTTCATGTGTAGTAGAGGTGCAACAGAGAAAAATTTCCTGCCAGCTTATGTTTTCTGACATTTTGACCATTTGCAGAACACTAACTGTTGGAGTTAGCAAAGTGATATTTAAAATGGAAAGTGTATGCACTGTAAAAAACCTAAATTTGTAAAGAAATAAATATTTGACTTGCTATAGGACCTTGCAATATTTCAAATTGTTTTCACATTTGGAAAACTTGCTGTACAGCTCCTCCTCCTGCCCACAAACTCTTCTGAAAGATATTCCAGTGTCTCCAGATTTCACTATCCAGGTGGCTCAGCTCCTTTTATAATTATTTTTATTTCTTTTTTTCCAGAATCTATTCCACTATTCTAGACCACTTCCTACTGTTTTGTTGACTGGGCAAATAGCAGGACACAGTAGATTGGGTAGAACAGCAAACGCCAGCCAAGATCCCGCCTTGGTGGTTAAAACCAGGATAATGTGGTAGCAAACATGATGTGGAAGAAGGAAGGATATGAAAAAGAGAATTTCACTGTTTGAATAAACAGGAAATAGAAGGTAAAATTTACCTTAATCCCATTAGACATAAAAGTTTGTATTTGTAGCTCCCTTAAATGTATAATCAAAGTTAGTTTTAAAGTGGATTCTTCAAGATAAGCTCCTGGTATCACTAATACAGAGCCCCTGTGGGTTGGTTTACAAAGTTACTCACAACCTGTTTGCTGCATTCCTTACATGGTGTTTCAGCTTGGAGACTTTGAATGACAATCCAATGAAGACCTCACACATTTGCCATACATCACTGTCATTTTTTATTAACTGTGATGTAAAGGAAATGACACCAAAAAGACACCAGAAATCTTCCACAATTTTTACTCATGCTAGTGAGCACTCACAAAAGTAAACTTAACTGGAGTTAATGGAGCTCCTGACAACATGACTCTCCAACAAGAGAAATGGCTGCAGAAATGACTTGCTCAGAAAGCGATAGGTTAAGTACTGGAAAGTAAATAAATTGCTAGCTAGATTTATAAGCATTGGAGTTGAATTTAAATGTACAAGTGTCTAAGATTTTATTTTCAGAAAACTTGTGTCAGATCAGCGATTGGAGATTTTGTTCAATTTTCATTATTTAGATGAATAGCTGAGGTAGCTTTAATGGAGTAAGGTATGCTGCAAAAAAAAGACGACGTAGTCATCTGGAAAGATGAACCTCCAAATCCATTCTGCAAGTAATGCCCAATGGAATACACTAGTTGTAATTTTCTAAGATCTTTTGTCAAAAGTTTTACAGACCACTGTTATGTTGCTATTACAACTTCAAAAATTCTCTTTCTTTAACTATGTCTCTAAAGTTAAGTTTTGTAATACCATTCAAAATAAGATTAACCAGTGACAGAGGATTTAAAAGATTCAGCAGTGGAAAAAATGCAAATTATCTCATTTATAATTTTATTTTTTTTTTCTGTTCAGGGATTAAGGAAAAGGAGATTGATAAGCCCTCCCCACAAAAGCACTGTGATTCTGGAGGAAGACTTCAGTAGTGCAGTGAGACCAAGAAGCCTAAACCATCGTAGCATCAACTGTGTTTATCCAGAGACTAAATGACATAGTCACATGCAATTCTAGGGAACCTCATGTGACTAATGAGGTGGTCCTTTACCTCTTGTCTTCCTAAATTAAAAAGTTTTCCACAGCCCGGCACTCTGCATTGCCATTTACATCTACGCAAAATGAATGCAAGATACTATCAATTTACAGAAACAGCTTCTATAATCAAGATTAGATTCATTTTGCAAAGGACTAGACAATGACAGACAGGGCAAAACATCCCATAACCAAGAATCACAGTCTCCTGAAAATTTTGCCATTTTAATGTCAGAATGTACATATAGTTCTTGCCAAATGTATTTTAAAATTATAAAGGGGAGAAGTGTCCCTCCCCACTTCTCTGGTCTTGAAATCAGGTAGTCTTTAAGAAGATTGGGGTTTTTTTCTTTCAAAAGGTTTCAAAACCAAGAGATAAAAAAAGCTTTGGTGCACAATCTGCTGATCAAGTACAAGGTCCATTGTGCTAAGCAGAGCAAAGCTTTAATGAAGTAGGAGTCAAAATGCAAATAAACTATATTTTCATAGATTAAGACTACTAATCTGTATATAACATTCAGAAACAGAGCCCAAGTAGACCTTGCACCTTCATGTCTTTTATAAGATAAGGAAAGCCAGGTATGTGACCATACCAGAAGTTACTTATGTCTGCAAAACTAATCCAGTAAGTTTCCTGCAGCAGCTCTGTTTTCAAGATGCAAAGACATCTGTTTTAGGTGAAGATATAACTCCTGCTAGTAGAATAAGCCAGATACTCATTAGCTTCCTAGTGAAGGACAGAGGAGTACTATTTCTGCTGCTTCATTCAGGTGCGTGGCTTCAAGACAGGCATTAAAAATGAGTCTGAAGGCTCACAACTGCTCTGTAGCAGAGAGAGGAGAATACAGATTTCTCCAAGTCTGGACCATGAGTCACATAATTGATTACATTTTTTTAATCTAAGGAGGATAATTAAGAGATGTACATGTTAAAGAGAAAGTCACACTTTGCAAGCTAAACTGAGATTAAAATAACCAAAAAAGGAAAGAAATTGTTCCCTAGAGACTTGAGATCATCCACCTACTGATTCTCATTTGCATTAGTCTCTAGGATTCTAGCAACAATAGCAAGAAAAAGAATAATCTAAAATAACTATTAAAATTCTGAAACATTTGGAGAATGCAGAAGAGCCCATCTGAAACAACAACATTTTGGTGCTATAAAGGCAAATCAAATGGACTAAGTCAAAACTGTGTCATCATCAAACACATGGAAAACCTCATAGAGCTAGAGACAAAACAGTTATTTCTTCTTTGAAAAATATGAACTTAGAAATATGTCAGTTGCCAAGAAATGATAGCTGCAGGATAAAGGTGATTTTTAATACCAACAATTGATTCTAGAATATTCTCAAACAGGCCCATATTAGGTGAACTAATTGAGTAAAATTAGAACCTACCTTTTATAACACGAGGAATTTACTAAACAATCAAGAATTTACTAAATGCTCAACACATTCAACCTGCTAAAAAATCCACCTGAAATTCAGGAGAAGCAGATTGGAGCCATGTTGATGGTTTTCAAGTCCATCACATGAATACCATTTTCACAGTAAAATGCCATTTTCAGTAAGATATTGATTTTATAAGGAATATAATGGAATGACCCTACACAGCTGAACTTTTGAACACCCATCCCCAAATGTAGGTAAATTCCTGGCAAGTATAAAGTAATTTCTCTACTTAAATGACAATTTTCAGACCCAACTTACTTCTTTGTAGCCGAAAATGATACGCCCATCATTGAGAAGGGTGGCCTGAAAAGTGAAACTGCCCAGGTTGTAATTATCCTGCAGATGTACATGGTCCCACTGGACAACTAGTGCTGTGCCTGTGAACCCCAGATTGGGGGTGGAGAGGCAAAGGGAAGAAAAAAAATGTGAGAAAAATATTAACTGACTGTAGGAGAAGTACTTAACCACAGTTACTTGAAACAAGAAAAGTGATTTGTCTCTTTTTAGTAACTTTCAGCCCAGCATCTTGACATGCCAAAGATATAAAAACTGAAATCCTCTTTAAGGTAGATATCACAGTGCCATAAATAACTACCTCAAGGACTCATACAAAAGTCTGCTAAAGTAAGAGTGGTCAAGTAATTTGTTTGGCATAGCACAAGGAGTCAACAAGCACTAAAGATAGAGTCCAGCACTCATAGTTCAATTGTGCTGCCACTATCGCTGCTCTGCAATAGCTTTTTTTTTACACTGTATATGTACAGGTACATCTCTGTCTATATATATGCCCTGATGACTTTGAAATGTGGAGTGCTAATAGCATTGCCTGTTTAGTAAAAAGTTACTATTTGAGGAATTCAGATTCTGCCATTAACTATGCATTAATATAAATAGCACTATTTTTTAATGTATGGTGCAAGCCTTTGCTGAGGTTCTGTAAGTTAAAAATATTCTGTTCTGGCAATAAATAAATGTAGTTTAAATTAAAGCCACTAAGAATTCATAAATGGAGTAAATATTGAGTCTGGTGTGCAGAGATTTAGTTGTAAGAGGCTCATTAATATTCATGGAAGTTCTCAGGCTGAATATCCACTAAAAATGTACCTCAAGCGACTTGCATACCCTGTGAGCATGTTTACAGATATTGAGGGTTACAAACACATTCAGGCAACTTGGTTGAAAGAAACTTATCACCCAAACTGTGCTTACTGAAAATTGTTATTTTGTCTTTAAATGCATTTCTCAACATACTCTTTGGCAGTAATGGAAATTACACGCTGTGATTCACAACAGTTTAATTTCAGGGAGGGTCAGTATACATCCAGCTCAATGCATTTTTGACATATCCTTGAAACATCTTTTTTCACAGATCCTTTACGCTATAACTTTCATTAACTCATCTTGGCTGGGGATGTCACAAAACTATAAGCATGCAAATTTTTTATGCATACTGCATCAAGTCCACCACATTATTGTCCTACAGGTTTTCATGAGTCTAATACACAGTCAGTAATTATGCACACAGAACATTTTTCCTTCTGTGACTACATTCATTAACTGCTTTCTAAATATCTATTTGATTTATTTGATTTAATTTAATTTTAAAGGTATTTAATCAGATTTTTGAAATTATTGGAGTAAAAATAGCCAGAACTTATAGTTAGTTTTTGAGTACCTCAGATCTATGTGCATCTCAGATCCCCAAGCTAAAGTGGAATTCAGCTGCCTCCAAGACAGGCTTCTCACTCCCAGGGCCTTTAAGTAGATTCATAACATAAGTTCTTTGCAGTTAACTCCATGAGTGAGACTTTGACGGGCCATCATGCTTTGTGCTTGCTCACTACAGATGCTGTTCTAAAGAAGCACACTTACTCGCAGAAATAAAACACAGATGAATAGGAAATAAGGAGCTGAAGATACAATTCACTCAGTTCCTTTTTATTTGGGGTAAGTGCAAATTCTTTGTCTTAAAGTACATGGGGTCCAAAAGAGCATCATGTCTTACATATGAAGAGGGATCCAAAATCTCAAAGAAGTATTCAACCTTGTAATGAAAGCAATGTGATACAGTCAGCCTGATACACCTGGTATAAAGACTGGAAGTCAGGAATATAACAAGAATTAGCAACGGTGTCGCCAGAATATTCAACCTCCTTCAGTGAAGATGACAAATCTAAGGCCATAATGTCAAATAATTTATGAAATTAAAATAACTTTTTTTTTTTTTTTTTTTTCTGTTAGAAAATTGTCTATGCAAGAGGTAGGATTTTCTCAGGCAAACCTTTTTTCTTGCATTTTTAACAAATAAATACTGACATGGCTAGATTGAAAGGAAAGGTTATGACTAAGTGCAAAGGTTACAGGATACATTTTGATCCCTGATTCAAAGATTAGAATTTAACATACCTGGTTGAAAAGGTGACATATTTTTTGCACACGTTCAATAATTTATGCTTAAATTCACTATGAATAAACATACATAGAATGGCATGGACTCATCCAGGAAGATTTGAAATAATCACAGATCTCATGATATGAAATCATTACACTAAACTCTAAGTTTTAAATTCAGAATATACAGTCACTGTCATTATATTTGATCACTAAAAGCCCGAGGTAAAGCACTAGATGCCTTCTAATTACATAGTTTATGCTTTCAAAATATTGGTTATAACTGACTTCATGAGGCAAATATCCACACATTCAAGGCCTTTGAAATAACTTGCATGGCCTCAAGTATAAGGCTCTGGTTTGCCTCTTACCCTTTCAATCTTTTGTACAAGGGCCTGCTGAGAACTCATGGTGCAGATGAGTGTATTGGATTCCGACCCTGGGACTCCATGCACACTTAGGCATTGACAGGTTTGTTAACCTTATACCTGCCTTGTTTTTGTGTATTCCTGCTATTGCATTCCACAAATACTACTTGAATTTTAGCTAGTGGGTAGATGGTAATCCCTATATGTATTTTGAATTAACAGAAACTTACAGTTTTATACAAGACAGATTTTTCCTTTTAAAACATAAAATACATCGCTAGTTTGAGTTTATGCATTTTAAAATCCAGAAGATATCTGCTCAGTTAGGAGAAAGCATTCATTACTCTGACCATGTTCTAAGTTAAAAGATGTTTATGGATGTCTAGCCACATGCTTTATACATCTTAAATTTTTCCTTTAAAATGAGTTACTTAGGAAAATACGAAGAGTCAAGGGACACAGACACATTCATTTATGAAGGACTACTACATACCATTATCAAAGTATCTGACTGTTGAATTTCTTGACACACTGGGGTCAAAATTTGCCATTAAGGGTGCAATATATTGTGTAGCTGTTAGCATTCGATGCACAACTTCTCCAGTATATATGAAACCTATAATAAAAAATAAATAATATTGAGACCATTTCAGTACTTCTGAAAAAAAATTAATAAAATGGTAGGTTGAACTAGGCATAGCCAGAGCATTAAAGGGTCATTTGAGAGAAATTAATCCAACCACCAATTTTATAGTGAATTAAGTAAGAGCTAAAATTTCAGGAAAAATTCTGTGATACTGCCAGAAAAGCAAGATCCAAGATGAACAATGGGACAATTAGGTCAATAAGCAACTTTTCATACACAAATAAAAACTGAGCAAAGTCCAGTTATGGACAAGATGCAGATATGTAGCATTATCAAAATGAACCATTTGCCACTACATATGTTCCATAGTACTATCTATCCTTTAAAAAAATCTGCAATTTGTTTTGTTTTTGCAAACTGCTACCTCTTCAACTTAAAGCCTGACTTGAAAACTCCTGTTACCCTAGAGTGAATCTTTTCTTAAGTTTTATTTTAGCTATCGCCTTGCTGGTCAAAACTGTCAAACATTATGTTGACTTGAGCTACAGGTAGGTCTTCAAAACTGAAGTTTGCGTATTACCTCCCTCTTAAAGTGTTTACCAATTTACGCTGAAGTCTTTGCTTTTTCTCCTCCTACTGATTTAATTAAGCACTTTTCAACAGCAAACAAAATTGTCAGAGTTGGAAGGGACCTCTGAAGATCAACTAGTCCAACTGTCCCGCTAAAGCAGGATCACCTAAAACGTGATTATGAAATTTCAGAACTAAACATAAACTTGAACAACTGGAATTACCCTCAAGATAGAGTTATAATTCTCTAGCCAACTCCAGTGAATATATGATATTAAAAAACTATTCATGTACAACCTAACTTTCTTAACAATAGTATCTCTGTTCCAACCACTGTGAGATGAGGCTTGTTTGATATGATATAGGAAATCTCTGAGAGTGTGGAAAAAAATAACAAGTTTCTGGAATGCATAAGGCATCCTTCAAATCCTATCCTCTCCTGAAACATGTTGATAAATGCTTGCTAACCGTTCACAGAACTAGTTCTAGAAGTCATAAGATGTTCTCAAAAATAAATAAAAAAATATGTTTCTTTGAAATATTTTTTTCTGGCTGCTAGCAGTTAAGATCAAATATCATGAAGCAAACTCAAGTGGAGGTGATAAGAGACCTAAGAAAAAGCCATGTGTGGAGAAAATACAACAAAATATTAATCTGGAAACATCTGGCATTGACAAAGGGGTGAGCTAGTGGTGAGCAGATAGGAACCTAGCTGCTTTTGCAGAGAAACACCAAGAAAAAAACAACAACCACATCTGTCCATGTATATTTACAAGTCATGTATAAACCACAACTTTTGGAATATACAATTGTGGCTGTAATTTGACTCTTATTCATCATTTTAGGATAGGCAACAGTCCTTCTGAAGTATAGTCCCTGAAATGCATTTTCATTATTTCCTACTTATTGCTGTCCGGTTCTAAAATGTCATTCCCTTGAGAAGTATTCCCTCAAGCTTATTTAGATATTTTAAATACATAGAATATTTCATAAAATATTTCTGTTGCTTATTGGTAATATGCATATGTATTTTAACACAATCTTGGGTAGGTCTATAACCTTGAAACCACTCCTCAAAAATATTTTTGAAGACAATATAAACAAAACCTTCAGATTCATATTAATGCATTACAGTTCAGTATTCATCCTCTTCACAATGGTCTTATCTTTAGATACAGTTTCCCTTTCATGCTTTCATCCTCTTTACAATATAAATGTCACCATTATAACTAATAATGAGGCAGATACAACAGGAGAAGAAAGGGCTTAATTGTGCTGGAACACATAAGTAACTAAATCAGCCCAGGTAATTAGTAACCACAGAGTGTATTTCCAAGTGTTTGCCGGATGCAGCTTTACTTTAGACAAAAATGGAAAGCAGGAGGTGGATGATAGCTGGGAAGCAGGCAGGCCTTGCATGAAGATCATTCTAATGAGAACTCCAGTCATGCACTGGAACAACTTGAAAAGAAACACAAAGTCATTTCAAATCATCCCAGAGATTCAAAGGCTGAAGCCACCGTTGAGCATGGATATTTTATCATTGCCACTAGAACTTAAAGAAAGTGGTAAATGTAAAGTTAACTTATTCCTGAATGGACTTCTGTAGAAAATTGGCTTATACTATTTGTGACCTAATTTTCTGACAGTTGTAAATGCTCTTGGTTGATTCATTTAGTCAAGGAACAATTTTTCAGACCTGCAACTTCCTGAACTACTTAATCTCTCCTTTGTGGGAGGGGTTGGTAGAGCTCTTTTCCAAAACTCCCTAAAAGTACTATAACTAGAAGGATAATACACTTCTACATACCGGAATGAAGAGAAACAGAAAAGAGTGCTCAGTGTTTTCTAAGTTTTATATGCATATAAAAATCTAACTAAAACTAAGGATGAACTAATACTAAAGCCACTTGTAAATCAAGGAGGGTATACTCCTAGTTCTCATAGTGTACAAATGCAAACTCACACAAACAGAGGGGAAAAATATAAATCTATAGAAAAAATTAAATACAAAAGAACACTTCACTGATGCAGGATCCTGACAATTTTAAAATGCATTTTACATCTGCATTAATCCATTCCAAAATGTGCTTTATATTTGTAGTGTTTTAACATATTAGATTTATATATAAGATCTAACACGCAAGATTACAATAATCTGCACATGAGCTTCCTGTGGTTTCTTTTTTCTACTCTTAGCTATACACCAACTCCACCACTTACGGAGTTTTTTGACGTTTGCCAAGTGTGCAGAAGAGAGGAATACAGGTTCAAAGCAGCACAGGCAATGAGACCTTTGAAGTTGCATTTGTGCATCTAAAAAGATACACTAGGGTGTGGGATATTCAGGCAATGTAAAAATGAAGCATGTAGGTTGATAACTATCTTCTCCCTCCTAAGAACTTGCATGAACAAGTTCCATAAACCTGAGCCTGATTTTTTAATATGTGACATTATAACAAACTTCTGCTCTTTAATATTTAGCTGTATTAGAACACAAATAACTTTATATTATAATTCCATGTTTGATTTGTTTTTAAGTGCAGATTTCAGCATCCCCATAAGATAAGCTGATCACAACATAATGGAAGGTAAAAAACCCTCACATTGATGTATCCAGATGCCAGAGATACTTTCTTGTCAAAGAAAAATATGGAAAGTGGATCAAAAATTCTCTCTCTGAGTTCCCCAATTTGCTGACTTGTTGATTTTGCAAAAAGGCCCATTTATTTCTCTTGTTAAATTACTATTTGCCAGGACAGTAGGAAAATTAGACGAGAGACAGGGACTGAGAAGTGGGATAGGAGAGTTTATATAAACATTCTGTAAGACTGAGGTTCTAACAGTAATTTCAAAAATTAAAATAATTCTCAGACTTGGCATATTCCAAGACAAATATTACTGTATTTAGTTCCGTCCAGCAACATCTCAACATATCTGCATGAAATTAGCCTTAATGACCATTTCAGCAATTTCTGCATATTCCCATTTGTAAATAGAAAGCTGTAAACAAATTAAATAGGCACATCAGAGTATAGTTTGTTGCTACTTGTAGCTAGGAAACACAGATTTAGGTAGTGAAGTAAGAGCTAGTGACACATATCTGCACCTTCTGTAAAGGTTACTGGAGTATAGCAAGAGCTTTGACAAGGGCATGACGAGAACTGCCACATCTGTCCTCAGGGCCACCCTTTGCTGTGTGCACTCTGTCTCATACCTTCCCTTGCTCAAATCATTTCAATACCTTTGTCCAGACGCATTACTGAGCCCAGTTCAGCAAGTGCAGCCCACAGACACCCCATCTAAGGTCTCTTTTATTTGCCAGACCTATATGTACTTACAAAAAATAAAACCTCAAACAAACAAAAACCCACAAACCAAATAAAAAACCCAAACAATTAAAATCTCTTAATATGTAAACAGATATTCCTTAATGTATTTTTTATTTAGTAGGATAGTGGAGAATACAGCTATGATTTGGGAAAGCTTTGCCCTTGTCTGCCTTTAGCACAAACAGCCAAGCTTTCCCCAGTAGGAAGGCAAAAACATTTTAGGAGTGCTGTTACTTTGGCACATGGACACACCAGCTGAGATCAATATAAGATAGAGAAAATGAGCATAACTCAAGAAGATACGCATTTGTGTTTTCATAGTGTCAGAGAATTTCAAATTGTTCTATCACTGGAAGACACCACCTTTGAAGCAGCTGGTTTTCATGCAGTCATGCTCTTCTAAGACTTTTATAAAGAAAGCTTAATTAAAAAATAGCACCTAATAAAATCCTGAAATCCTTTTATTCATTATCCATTCCAGAAAACTCATTTCAACTGCATCACACAAAACAACTCATTTGCAAAAACCTCTGCTATGTTCAAACAAGAGAATAAATTATGTTTGTGTCACATGTAAATGAGACCACAGAAACTACACTCTTCCTATACAATACTCTTCCACACACATTAACACCTCTTCCTGCTCATCTCTTAAAAAAAAAATTAAAAAAAATGTTCTAAGTGATAGGAAAGATTTAGCCCTTTTGTTGCAGCTACTCTTCTCCAGGGTGATAAAACATTACTACTTCAGATGAACTTTCTCATTAGGTTAGAAGACATTTGTTTGAACTGACACTGTATAAAGAGTTCTTGAAATAGTTATTATATGAGTTTAATTCCACTCCTTTATTTAATTTACCTTAGTACATTTATAACCACCACCACAGAAATTAATTGAGAAAAACAGATCAGCTTCCCAGTAGTAAGAAAGTATTTGAGTTTTATCAGCTGGTAAAATTCTTTCTCTGTCTGTAAAGTTGCCACATGTTTTTTCCATGTAAAAGTTTATTTTCAAAACATTTTAAATCAATTTATGATCATATCTGATACCTCAATTGGGAAAGGTTAGAGATGCAAGTTTTCTCTTTGGTTGAAAGTCCAGTAGGATTATATTTTGTTTGTAATTAT